CCCCAAAACACTACGATGTTTCAAAGCAAGAACCACTAAAATCTCCAAAAAACTTAATTACGATGTATTTCGTCCAAGAGAATTTTATAACAAATGTTTCCATCGAAACTTGCGTAAGACTTTGCAACGTGAAAGCGTACCGCGAGATCGCTCTTGTCTGCCATTTCCAAAATACAGAAGACCCAATCATTACCACAGCAAGACCAAAATTCTTTATTCAGCAATGCCACACAATAAATAGATAACGGGCCGAAACATCATCGCTTTCGAAGCGATATAGGCTTGTTCTATCTAATTTTGGTTCGAAATTTTTGCATCTATATTATTAACAAGAAWTCGCATGGTATTCTCGTGCACTTTGGAATAAATTTGCACGAACGGGTTTTCAAAAAGTTCAAAATTGCACGAGCCCGATCGCTCGTGCAAATTTATTCCAAAGTGCACTCGAAACCATGCGATTTCCTATACATATTGTAACGTAAAAATCCTTTGATTTATTGACGAAGTGATTGACTCATTGATTGATTGTTGGATGAATGAATCGATGGACGCTTCGGTGGGTGGGTAAGTGGGTAAGTGAATGGATGTATTGATGGATGTATTGATGGATGCATGGATGGGTAGCTTGGTTGGTCGTTGTTTGAATAGTTGAATAAAATGTGATAATAATTATCCCTTATTTCAGTTCGTCCAGTGATAGACGTCAAGCCGACGGATCAAAAATTGTTCGAAGGATCTACTGTCATCTTGCCATGTGAGGCTTCAGGTTTTCCCGCGCCAAATATCACGTGGTTATTCAATAATGATCCAATCCCATGGGAACATTCAATAGAGAACGAATCCTTGGTCCTGAACAATGTTAGACATGGAAGACATGATGGTAGATATACTTGTGTAGCTACCARCAARGSMGRTACWRTGTCTACTTCTGCATCACTTATTGTTTATGGTAAGATAAGAWTGGTTATTGTTAACTTTATGCTACAAACTTTAATTTTGCTTTTAAATTGGTACTTGCTTTGCCATTTTATTATCTCCTATGACACAAGAGAGTTTCTCTACGGGTTCATCGCTTATCYTCCCTGGTTTCATATAAGATGGATKCGAGTTAAAGAGTTACATAAGAGAATCCAACATGCAGTTTGTTCTGTAAAATAGCGCTATGTCGTCCCAATGACGATYAAAACTTATCCAACTGTTACAACGAAATCCTGAAAGAACTAGTTATTCCTTCAAATAAAAAGGAATTTACCTCTGACTGTCGTCTTTGTTTATTTTCCAGTAAAAATGTTTGCTCWTGCATTATCCAGAGAGTACATATTTTCTCTGACAAGTCAAAGTGCCAATCTCAGTTGTTCTGGGAGTGGCTATCCTTTACCAAATGTAACATGGACAAAGAATGGGTTGCCDGTGTCGTTGAATCAAACAGACAGTGTTATCAACGAAACCTTCATCGAAAGCATTCTAAGCTTGGGCAACCTAACRATTGAGAAGGCTGGACGATACTCTTTTAACGTAGGAAATGGAGTGCAAGAGCCGATAAGCGTTGCCATGGAAATACTGAGTAAGTGACTTGTAGAAGAATGTTATTGTCTTAGTCAARTAAAACGATGCCCGTCATGTGTTACCAACCAGAGAGTATTTTAATATTGGTTGGTATTAATCAGCTGAATGAATCTCCTGAATATTTTTACTCATAAACATGACCATTACATTGGAGCTTTTTGACGAAGCAGCCATGCTCATTTTGAACTTCAATTTTGAAAATTTCGAGTAAAAGACGTTTATGACTAGCAACTTATTACTTAATTCATAGATTATTTTACTCGAAATACATTTCCTTTTGGTTTCAGTTCGTCCAGTGATAAACGTCGCGCCAACTGATCAAAAAGCGTTCGAGGGATCTACTGTCATCTTGCCATGTAAAGCTGCGGGTTTTCCCGCGCCAAATATCACGTGGTTATTAAATGATGATCCAATCCCATGGGAGTATTCAATAGAAAACGATTCTCTGCTCCTAAACAATGTTAGACATGGAAGACATGATGGTAGATATACTTGTGTAGCTACCAGCAAGGCCGGTACAGTGTTCACTTCTGCATCACTTCGTGTTTATGGTAATAGTATTTGCTGGACAATCAATTCAATAAACTGTTGATTTTTATAGTTGGTCGGCCTTGGTTGGTTAAAACAGTCGGTAATATATGACCTTCAAAAATCTGTTCAAATTCCTCGAATACCGCTCTATTGTTTGATTATAGGCTCATTAACTGACAAATGCCAATTTTAAAGAATGCACAATATCAACAACTCAGACATTTGAAAAATTCAGTAAAATTGAGAAGACAGTTTTGTATTTCAAGAGTAGAAAAATCGATTTTATGAATCCTTATCGAAAAATATTTCATAGCAATGCATGATAGTACGTACTTGTGTTCTGGCCATGGTATCGTGACATAGGGGAAATATTCAAAACCTCCCCACTATTTAATATATTTTTCCCTCTTCATTTAGATGAGCCATCAAGTTTTGCAAAGAAAAGACGATATGTATTCTCCGTTATTGCAAGTGACTATGTCTTTGTGAGTTGTTTTGGAAGTGGGAATCCTCGGCCAATAATTGTATGGGAAAAAGATGGATCACCTGTCTCATTAAACCAAACAGACATCGTCCTTAATGACACTGTGGTTGAAAGTCGATTACATTTGGGCAACTTTACACCTGAAAAGGCTGGTAAATATTACTGTTACGTCAAGTCTCAGTTGGATGGAGTCTACATCCCAACACCAAGAAAGCTTGCTATATTAGCATGGTGTAAGTGATACTCTTTGTGTATCTTAAGCAACGAGGATAATCTAGGACGGGAACGTCAGTGTCGGGATATTTACACTTAGCGTTAATTAATAACAGAATCGTGTACTTACTATCTTTTACTGAATGAGGAGATGGGAAATCGAATAACTACAGTAGAGGAAATGGTAGTGGTAGTAAAATAAAGCCATAGCGAAAACGGCCTGTTTTTTCACGTCATTCAGGACCAGAGAACTAGAAGTAACACACTTTCCCAGTTCTCCTTCTCAATAAAATTCAATTATACATGCTGAACATTTCTGGGAGATCTCACGTCCTAGTTTTGGGTTTCCGTTGCTTAAYGTTACTACTGTTTTTGAAATATTTTACCAAACGATATATTTTATGTACGTATTTAATTATTATTTATCAGTAAAGCAAAATTACTAGAAGAGCTCATCTAGATCAATATTCTCAGTGCTGGTGATGTGGGATATACACAATATATAGCTACTGCATATGCGCAGTAGCCGCAAAAGTGTGAAAAAGATCGACTTACCTCAATAAGTCTATTATTTTCAAAACTTTTTAATTTTACGATAAAACTACTCTTATTCGGAGTTCCATTCGCCTAGTCATSCTTTTTTTCGATCTTATCAAATACGCTAAATTCCAGTTCGTGTTTAGAGTTAGCTGTATTTGATTCGCCCAAAAGTTGTTTTAGGGTTGGTTGAAGTTGAAGTAGACGATCATGGCTATATTATTTATTCAATATTCAGTGCTTATGTTTTCCCTGAATGTTTAGTCTATCCAGCAATTGTGGAAGAACCAGTTGATCGAGAAACTATAGAAGGAGCTACTGTTGTCTTTGAATGCAAAAGTAAAGGTTTTCCACAGCCAACTACTACCTGGTTGTTCAATGGAAAACCAATCCCATTTGAACATACTATTGACGGCGACGGTTCTTTAGTGCTGGAGAATGTTAGACGTAATCCTCATGCTGGTAAATATACTTGTGTAGCTACCAGCGAAGCAGGGACGGCGAAACATTTTGCATGGCTTTTTATTGATGGTAGGTTATTTATTTGTTGTTTTCAAGTAGTTCCACTTTTTGACAACTGTTCAAACTCCAGTGTATGAGGGCTTAGCCTCGAATCCAGGAGCTGCTTTCTTTTGCCGAACTCRGAAATGAGGCTAAGTCCACATCCACTGAAGTTTTACTGCTATTTTTATAAACATGCGAACTCTGTGTCTGCGAGCTGCACGC